CATGGGATGTTTTGAGGTGGTTTTTGGGTGTTTTTTGGGTGTTTTTTGGTGTTTTTGGGTGTTTTGAGGTGTTTTTGAGATGTTTTGAGGTGTTTTTTGGGTGTTTTGAGGTGATTTTGGGTGTTTTGAGGTGTTCCTGGAGTCCCACCTGGGAGAAGATGAGCACCCGGTGGTTCTGGGGATGTTTTGAGGTGGTTTTGGGTGTTTTGAGATGTTTTGAGATGTTTTGAGGTGATTTTGGGTGTTTTGAGATGTTTTGAGGTGGTTTTTGGGTGTTTTCTGGGTGTTTTTGAGATGTTTTGAGGTGATTTTGGGTGTTTTGAGATGTTTTGAGGTGATTTTGGGTGTTTTTTGGGTGTTTTTGAGATGTTTTGAGGTGTTTTTGGGTGTTTTGAGGTGTTCCTGGGGTCCCACCTGGGAGAAGATGAGCACCCGGTGGTTCTGGGGATGTTTTGAGGTGGTTCTGGGGATGTTTTGAGGTGTTTTTGAGGTGTTTTGAGGTGGATTTTGGGTGTTTTTTGGGGTGTTTTGAGGTGTTTTGAGGTGACTTTGGGTGTTTTGAGGTGTTCCTGGGGTCCCACCTGGGAGAAGATGAGCACCCGGTGGTTCTGGGGGTGGTTTTGGGTGTTTTGAGATGTTTTGAGGTGGTTTTGGGGTGTTTTGAGATGTTTTGAGGTGATTTTGGGTGTTTTGAGGTGTTCCTGGGGTCCCACCTGGGAGAAGATGAGCACCCGGTGGTTCTGCTCCTTCAGCTTGCGCAGCATCTTCTGCAGCAGCAGCAGCTTCCCCGAGGCCTTGATGAGCGCCCCGCCCTCGTAGGCACCGCTCGGCAGCTTCGGCGACTCCTGGGGACACCGGGGACACCGGGATGTCACCATGGGGACACCAGGGACACCGGGGACACCGGGATGTCACCACGGGGACACCGGGGACACCAGGATGTCACCATGGGGACATTGGGGACACCACGGGGACATTGGGGACACCACGGGGACACCAGGGACACTGGGATGTCACCATGGGGACACCGGGGACACGTCACCACGGGGACACCAGGTGTCCCTCCATCATCTCCATGTCCCGTGTTCCTCCACCCTGTGTCCTCCTGTCCCACCATGTCCCAGTGTCCCCATCTGGCCATGTCCATCTCATGTCCCACCACGTCCCACCACGTCCACATCTCCTCATGTCCCACCATGTCCCAGTGTCCCAATGTCCCACCATGTCCCACCATCTCCCAGTGTCCCCATGTCCCACCATGTCCCATCATCTCCCACCACATCTCCATGTCCCACCATGTCTCCATGTCCCACCACATCTCCACGTCCC